AATAACTATAAGTTGTCATTGCAAAAGTTTTAAAATTTTTTGCAATGTAAGATCCTAAGTATTAAATAAACTCACACTTAGCTATTTTTTTTTCTTTATTTTTATTGATCTCATCTCCGCACATCATCGGGAAACGTTTGTTGCGGCTTGTATATATTTTGCCGTCGGCATACTCTTCCGCAGAGCATTGCTCAGCTCGTGTCTACGGTAAGTTTTATTTACACACAAAATTTAACGTATTTTATGATGACATGGGAACTAAATTAGATACTAAAACCAATTCAAATTACAAATGGCTAAAACAATTCGAATTTAGGGACCAAGCTTAACAATTCAAATTCGAAGCATAATACAGCCATCCAAAGCACTGTAGTTTGCAAAAATGAAAAAATTGTTTTGAACACACCATAGCACAGATTACATGTACAAAATACGAGCAAAAGTTTAGAATAAGACCAATGAGAAAAACCAATTGCAAAATTTCCAAAAACAAAAATAAAAGTGAAAACTTATCCTCAAATGAAGTTTCTATTACCCAATATTTACAATTAGTAGGTAGCTACGGCGTTGATTAAGCGCTAACAGACACATGGTAAAAATATAAATACATGTCGTAATTTATCTCACACAAAATTGCATGTTAATATAACTATAAATGCTAATAGCACATGGTAATAGTCCAAATAGCACGTGGCACAATTGATCATAACCCATATGTTAACATAGTGTAATACATAACATTAATGTCCACAGAGCACGTGGCATAATTGATCGGTAACACATATGTTAACATAGCGTAATACATTACATTAATGTCCACAACACGTGGCACAATTGATCTTAACGCATATGTTAACATAGTGTAATGCATAACATTAATCCACAACACATGATAATAGTACACGCAGCACATGCTTACAATTATCATCTAGTGATTAGGACGAATCAACATTCTAACCATTCTATCACACTTAATATGAAAGAAAAATATTTTTTCTATAAGTGGTCGGATAACTCCATACTACATTTATTGCATCATATATATATACTAGTACTCTCAATTGCGCTACACCGAAGTGTAATTGAATAACTTATATTAGACAAACTTTTTATGACATTGTCAAGACTTGTTTTCAGAGTTGCCAACATGTTGTATTGATGCCTTTGGTGTTGAGGTTGATAGATTTAAATCGAACAAAGTTTTTTCCAACATGTTCATCTGCCATGACAAAAACTTCGTCTTCGACGGTTGAAAAGTGCCCCTTCACACTGTTGCTGGTCATCTTCTGGTTTTGCTCACTTTCTTCAGCATCAATTGCTGCATTTGTTCACTGATCAGAGCTAGTATTGCTGCTAATTGTGATGAAAGAATTTTTCGATGTTAGAATAAATGTTCAGAATATTCCCAACACTAAAGATAAGTTCTCGCAATCAGAAGGTTGAGTAAACATAAATGTTCAGAATATTCCCAAGAACCTTGAATCGCTACAACCCCAAAATAAAATAACAAAGAAGTTCAAATCCAAATGAAATGAGAAAACAATCAAACAGAAGGGTGACTTACATACATTCACACATTTGCAGAATGCTCAAATCTCCTTACTAAGTGTAGCGGAAAACATCGTAACTTTCTTGTAATGTGAAGTCATCTTAAAAATCTCTAGCATATCTCTTTGTATATTTGATCCCACAGACAACTTGTGAGCATAGATAACATAGAGTTCATATGCAATGCAACAACAGATAATTTGAAACGCGTACCAAGAGCTTGAAGCATTTTTTTCACATTCATCCAAAATGAAATGCCTCACATTTCTTAATTAGAGGTTCTTTTCTCTTGCCAGAGCAAGTATTCTTCAAGGTGTACCGACAATAATGTGAGGGCACTCATTCTTTAGAAGTTATTTGTGTATTTTTATGTTCACACCACCATAGAAAACAAGTTCCATCTCTTGTAAATATGTGTTGAACCTTTCCAAATTCATGACAAATCTATAATGGAGATACCATTCAACCACATTTAACCAAATGACTAATAAATCAACAATTGCAGTAGGTAACAAAAGACTGAGATATCATGAAGCTGCAAGAAACAATTTATCAAATATATAGCAGGGTCTGGTTGCAATACATACCTAGTAAAGTAATTCCCTTGTATGACATAGAACCAGGGCAGCAACTCACGTGATATAGGTTCAATCTGCGGAAGTGTTGAAAGAACAAATACAGTTGTTTTCTCCGTACTAGATTTTGCTTGGCAGATAACATCCATTCCCAGTATAGCTTCAGGAATGCACTCATGTCGAATTGGTGAAGAACCAACAAAACTGTGTCAAATCAAATTCAAATTTCAACGACAAGAACTATTCATAGATCTAAAACTTCATAATAAAATCAGTATTGTTTCCACTTTTAACAATATAAACCAACGAATAGATCTAGAGTAGTCATTTGGAATTGGGTAATCGATTAATATCTGTTAGCACATGCTCAACATTTTGCCTTCAAGACATTTCACAACCCCCAGGTGAAACAATATAAATGAATATTGGTTTATGTACTGAAATGACCTCTTTCATACAATAATAACAATAATATTAGACATTACTGTCCCGGTGCATTACTAACTCAAGTAGCAGTGATCAGTTGTGATATCCAATTTTTTGTATGGGCTTCGTTTAGAATAAGATAAAGTCATTAAACAGCACAAAAGACAAATTCAAAAAAACTTTTAAAAATACCAAAAAATAAAAAGAAAATGCAATATGCTTGATAATAAGATTAGAAACAATCAAAACAAAGTGAAAGGATCCAAATTCATCATAGAGTTTTCTCATATTCCTCAAGCCTGCCGCCGGGTCGTTGCAAAGGCCTCGCAATATGAAATTAACACATTAAGTAGGAACAAATTGAGTGGAATATTTCAAGCATGTGAAGAGGTTAGGAAAGTAAAACAAATTGAAAGAATAGGATATATATATAATGCAAAAATTAGAACACTATTAATAACATTCAAAGCTCGTCCATTAAGAAAAATATATTATATTAGGATCAAAACACATGCGGCCAAAAAATTTTGCACTGAAGTATCAAGAAGATATATATTATTAATTTAATGTAAAAAAATTGATGACTATTAATATACACTCTTTCGATAACTTAGAACTATTCATTAACAAAAATAATTTTATTAAAAAAATCACATCAAAGTTATTTCCTCCCAAAAAATATGACATAAAATAGTTAATTTTTTACTATTATCAACATTTTTAAGAACTTCTAAGCTCTCAAAATTTCTATCTAAGCAAGCGAACCCTCTACTTTCACAGGGATGGAAGGATATTTCATAACAATTGATGGATCAAAGAAATCATACCAACTACTTGAGGTTATGCAACTGGAAAGTGCATAATGCACATATTGTATTCTGCCTAGACAAGTACGAGGGCATAGGTAGCGAACCGTCGGGCATACAGATATCAGTCTTTGAAGCTTTTGAAAAGCATATATTTGTTGGAGTTAATGCATTTTAATTACATTAATATGTTGTGATGATTCAGCTCTTCTTCTGTTGAAGTTTCTTATGCCTGCTATTTATGTTATTCTAGAATATTCTATTATGGGTTTTATATTGCTATGTTCACAATATTCTGATGAAGAAGAAAAATCATTTTTATCATTAGAGCTCTGTATCAACAACTCCCTCTTTGAACATTCACTTCCTACAATATTAGATTTGGAATGTCATTAGTTAAGATATGATACAAGTTATATTATTCCTCAACATATACTTCTGTAAATATAATTAAATTTTTTTCCATGATCAAAATGAGTTATATGACCAATCAATAGATTGCAAACATATGGTAAAATTCAACCCAAAGTTGAACATGCAGTGGAGATGAACATGTACGAGAAATAAGGAGTTTTGCAAGAAATACGGAGAAGCTTAATCAGTTGAAATTATTTGAATTTGAAGAAAAAAATCTTCTTGTTGTATGTTAAACACCATGTTGATCTTATGCAACAAGAGCCATTTATGCCATGACAGCTCTTATCTCGTGTATTTAATATCCAGTTAAACAAATATAATCCTGACTATATATATATAGTAGACCTTTTCGTGGGTTGTACCCCTCTAAACCAAATTTGTAAATATGTGTTAAGTAATATTTAGAATGTAAAATTATTTTTTACTATAACAAAAAATAGAAAAAATACATATTTGTGATAATTATAAAAATAAATAAGAAATAGTAATATGCAGTTCTAGACATAAAAATTATTCTTATAGCTTGAATTTGTTGGATTCAATTTATTGGATTGAATTATAGCGTATTTTTAGTCAAATTCGGATAATAAGCTTCTCCACAAACTACAACAACACGAATAGAAACAAAGATTGAACAACGATCTAATTTAATCTAAATTGCATTGAAATCATATGAAACGATGAAAAAATCAGAACTTACCGAAACTTAGACACGAAGAACGATGAGAAAATCGCCTCTACAAACACGTCCAGCCTCGTCGATTTGAAGAACAATGGAGAGTTGAAGAAGACGAAGAGCGATGAAAAAATTTTCACCCTATTAGAAAGTAACGAAGGAAGAGAACGAGTCTGTTCGCTTCAACCCAGTAATTATTATAAATCGAAATTACTATCTACCCCTATTCAATGTAAATCATCTGATGTAACCCATCAACACTGGATCTACCTCTCAACACTGGATCTACCCCTGATTTTGCAAGTACACGAAAATAATAGTTTGTATGCCATAAGAAACCAACTTCAACCACACAATGCAGGCAAAGAACATCAGGGTGACACCTGATGGAACACAGCTGAATCACGTCTGCACCATTCTAAAATCATGAAAGATGCATAACTTGCACAAACAACATTACAATATGTGGTTATCCTACCTGAAAAAGTGTAGATCATGAGATTCAAGGTGCAGAAAATACCTCTATACAATGCTCCAAATGAAGTACTAATGTGAATCAAACTATAAAACTCAACACCAAAAATAACTGCTCTAACACAATATATGTTGATGAGCTAATTGTAGATTACAACAAAATCGTGCCACAATACAGAAGGATGACGAATTTTCAGTAGCCAGTTCTTGCGATGCATGGCCTTCAATTGCCTTCTCGACAACGTCATCCCCTCCTTCTCCCTACTTCTCTTCTTCTCCATAGCTGAAAAACACCGAATACTATAATCAGAAGAAAAGCACATAATATGCATTTACTCTCCTATTTCCGAAACAAACAAAACATGAAAACAACACTTGCAAATGAAACAGAGCTTCTTCTTCATCGCACCTAAAGTTCCCAACACAACTGTCAAACCAAAGGCAGAAATGAATTCATAATCTAATACGCACTCACTCCCTAATCCACCCACCGCCCCAATTCACCCATACTACAACACCAACAAATAAAAAGCAATTAAAATAGTACCTGCAGAAATTTAAAATAAAGGAAAAACAAAAACACAAGAAACTATTGTTACCAAACGCACAGAATTCCAAACCTCAATTTTTTATTTTTGTTTTGTAAAAAGAAGAACGAAGTGACAGACAACCTTCAAAGAGGCGCAGAAAATAAATCGAACAAAATCTGTAGAACGCAACACAATTTACAATTTAGCAACCGATTTCAACAAAAACCAAGAATAAATTGTTGCAGAAAACATGGTAAACTTCCTTCAAAGCGCCCGGGAAGGAAGGAACTTCGATCTAGCACCACACTACGTAGCAACCGCAATTGGAGGAGGGAGGAATGCTTTGCTGTGTGGGCGTAGGGTTTTGTTTGAGAGGGGTAAAATAGGTGGATTATGTAGCCATCCGTACGAGTTCATATATATTAGTAGTGTTGATATTGATATATAAAAATTAAACTTGGATAAGAAAATGAAACAAAAGTTAAAATTTATTGAATTGGAAGGCTTCAATAGAAAAAAATGAATGTACACTTATGATCTAGAACTACACACATAGCAGAGTTGACAGAGGGAGTTTAGAAAAGGAAAAGTTGTATACAACTTGGCAAGATGAAGAGGGATGAATGTTACCTAACTTCCTTTTGGCCATAAAGTCAAAGATTTGTCTCAAGTTAATTTCTCAAACAATAGTAAAAATAGAAGAACCGAAAAAATATCTGAGAATCTAGTTAAGGAAACATATAAAAGTGCAATTTAATTCAGGTAGACTGTATAGAGTCTTTAAAGGATACATAAGTATCAAGAACTATACAACCCCATGAATCCACCAGGCATGGAAGGTTTAGTCGTATGCTTGAGAAATCTGTGTTATGAACCAGGATGCTGGCAAAGAAAACCAAGTGGAATGTAATTGTGAGAAACACTTTCGCAATGTAGAAGTTCCGGATGAGAAAAACATAATATAAACTGCATTGCCATGTAACTCCTATAAAAATGAAAGTTTGTTCACCTTCCCATCAGTGAGTTAAGCCTATGCAAACAGCAAAGTGATTATCATGTCATGAAAGCATTCAAACTAGCTTCAATTGTACAGCACATTTGAAGACTAACAATGAAAACAAACAGAATGCACCAGATAGTACTGTCTATATCAAGTCATGCTACACCAAATTCTAGAAAAGAATTAAGCAAGCAATGTTACCCCTTGATCTTTGTACCTAACAATCTTATAATAAAACACATTATAAAGTAGTGTCATTTCGGCAATGAATAATAGAAATCTAATAAATGTATTGCTATAGAACATGGTTGGGGGTGCTTTCCAAACAATAAAGGACAACAATCATTGAGGTAGAAATTCTCAAAAGAATGCTCACCTGAAAATGTAGGCTTTAGAATGACACACTGCAGAGCATGCCCACTCGCAACACATTCACTAGCATTCATTGTTTGGCTGGCTCTTTACCAAAGAATCCTGTCAAGATTTTAAAGCTTGAAGGAACCCTAGATCCATAACCAAGAACTTCGAGATAGTGTATATTCTCAATGGTCAGCCCAGCTCTTCTGCAAAAGCCTTCTCCAATGGATGTTTAACACATTCCAATATGGGAGTGCCAATCCACTCAATATCTTCCCACCGAAAATCAAAAACCAACCACGCTCATTTTTACTTGGATTATTGAAATCACAGGCGTAGGTAACAACCTGAATCATGAGAACATCATTGTCAACATCCAAACCTATATAGAGTAAATTACGCCATGAACGAAATAAATGTAACAAAAACATCTGCTTTTCCAGGCTTACATAATTGACATGCCAGAATAGATTCAAAGGAAAGTGAATCAAGGGAACTGAACAACGGATAGATTTATGAATTGTAACACTTTGAAGGATCAGTGTTCCCACATCATTTACAGCAGCACAAGTAATATTCACCCAGTTCTTCTAAAGTCTTTGAAATAAAGATCAAGAACAGGAGCCTCAACCTCTATAACAATCACCAAATAAAAATGAATTATGCAAGAGCGAAGCAGTAACACAGAGAAAAGAACACAAGAAGCACTAAAGAGAACAGAGCATACAAATACAAAACACAATAGAACATAAGAATACAAAAACACCAGCATTCAGCATTCAAAATCCGGAGCACCTGAGTACAGATCGGAGAAAGATCTTTGCTCTAACAGGAAGCCAGGAGGGCTTTGACGGAATGGTCTCTTTGCTACAACATAGTCGAAGAAAGGAGGACCAGCGAAGCAGGTTATGCCAAAAAAGATGCTCTTCCAGAATCTTCTGCAACGGCATCCAACTCCAAGAGAGTATTTACTAGGCTAAGCAAGGCAGAAGACCTTCTGGTTATAACTCAGAACAGGTGGAATACAGGAAATCTGAGTATGTTCAGAATATAGAGAACTTAATGTAGTAATTCTGTTTATTCCAATCGTCCTTTTCTAGGTTATGCTATGTGCAAATATGTAGTTAACTTTCCTTCCATCAAACCGGGAACATTTTATAAGTTATAATTTGATCACAAAACTTCGAAATTTCATACTCAACATGTTGTAGTTCTGCTGAAAATCATCAATCGGAAAGGGCAGTGTTGCTTCATTGAGCTGCAAGTTTACCGACTTCATTAACTCTACCAACAGCCTCAAGTATCGACGAGTAAGTTATCCGATCATATTCAAGCCCATTTTCCTGCATCTCCTTCATTACCTTTGCAGCCTCTTCAAACATCCCCGCATGGCTAAGACACCCTAAAATGGTGTTGTACGATACAGCGTCAGGCTTCATTTCAGAACTCTTCATTTTCAGAAACATGTCGATTGCCCGTTGGGGTCCACCAGTTCTGGCCAGGCCGTTCAAGATGATGTTATGCGAGTTCAGGTCAGGAATGCAGCCATTTTCGCCCATGCTTCGGAGCAATGACTGAGCCTCATCCACCATCCCGGCCCTCACCAACCCTGACATAAGGGCATTGTATGTGTACACATCTGGACGGCAACCAAGCCTCTTCATTTCACTGAAAAGGTTAACTGCGTCATTCACACGCCCCGACTTCCCAAAATGTTTTATCATCACAGCATACACACGAGCACTGGATGACCCACAGTTTTCTTTTAGTTCCTGAAATAATTCTTGAGCAGCATCATATCGTTTAGCCCGGCCAAGACTGTTGATCAAGCTGCAGTATGCAGCTGGGCAAGGCGGGAAGCCCTTCTCATCCATCTCCTCGAGCATTAACAAGGCCTTCTCTAAGTTATTTTTCTTGCAATACCCGTCTATAAGAATGGAATAAGTGAAAGAACTCGGACTGATCCCGCTCGCCTTCATCTTCTCATACCATGAGGTGACCTCTGAAACTGAGGCTTTCGACTCAAACAGAGATTTAATAATGGTGTTGTATGTCACAACATTCGGTTCACAATTCAACGACTCCATTCTTTCGAAAACCTTAACTGCATCACTTAAGCATCCCCCTTTTCCTAGTATGTTTATTACATTGTTTACGAGCACCACATCTGGCTGGCAACCATCATTCAGCATGTTTAGAAACACTGTATACGCTTCCTCAACCTTCCCAGCACCACCAAGCCCCCTTATCATTTCTGTATATGTATACACAGTCGGTGCGCAGCCTGCATCTTTCATTTCCCGCACCAATCCTAATGCCTTCTCAACCATACCTTGTTTAAAGTAAATACCCAACACGGTAGTATATATTTTTGCACTTGGAAATAAACCGCTCACCTTCATTTCCTCAAACAACTTGACTGCATAATCATTACGCCCTAATTTCCCAAACGACGAAATGAGAGCACTGTAAGTGACAGTGTCAGGGAAACAATTGCCTTCGTTGCACATCTCATTGTACACCTCAGTAACTTTCTCGTAATGGCCTTCTTGCATCAACATCAAGATGATGGAATTGTATACGCCAGATGTTGGCTTGCATTTCCGGTATTTAATCTGGTAAAAAACAGAGAGTGCTCTGGTCACCATCTTTGCTCTGCCTAAAATTCTTACAATTTCGGAAAGCTCAGAAGGGCCCATTAAGCAGGGACTCTTGACCATTTCTTGAATCATCTTCCACATTACCCCAACCAGATGAGCTTCATCGAGGCAACGAATCAAAGCCATATAGGTACTGGAATCATGCTCAAAGTGCCTTCTCTTCCCTGCCCACTTAAAAAACTGCAATTTCACATTGACGTCCACATCTACTTTCAAAACCTCACGAACCAACCTATGATCCACCTTCAATTTCAGAACCTCCAGGGCCTTTTCTGCATCAGGGCCCCATTTGAAAATCTTTAGGATCCTTATAAATCTTTCGTCAAGAACTCTTCCACCGGTGTTTTTCCGTATACGGGAATGTGGTGTATCATCTTTTGGAGCTCCCAGCTGGAACATTTTAACAATTTCATTTTCTGCAACAATGAGGCAACATCACTTTATTCCATTCTTAGTCCTCTGTTCAACAACAATTTAGAGACTTTGCAAAGTACTGAATGCAGCATATTTTTATACATATAAACCAACTAAGAAACAACAACTAGATGATCAAATTTATGAATAAAGCAATTAATAAATAAAAGAATGTATCAGAACCACATGACCCAAATATTCAGCTTTCAAATTCAAACTACAAAAATGTACCTGTCTGCTTAATTCTCTCGAATAAACACGAACAAGTGGATATGTCTCGCCTCCAGGCAATAGATTTGGCAACTATTCTCCCTTGAACCCTCATTCCCAAATTAAATCAATACACTTGCTTCTTCGAAACCCTAACGTGATTTTATTGGCCGGAAAGAAAAGGTATATCAATGGAAGCTAGGGGCGGACCTACGTGAGACCCGGAATGTCCGTCGCCCCCCGAACACGTCGAATTTTCTTCAATCCCTTTGGCGAAGCAGCGGGTTGAAGAAGTTAAAAGCAAAAATCGAAATGGAGCCGGTAGGAGAAAAAATGGAGAAGAAAATAGAGGAAGAAGATTAGTCTTTAGAGGTATATATATGTGTTAATATATTTAATAAAATATTTATAATTAAAATAATTTTATAAAATAAATAATAATGATTATAAAATAAAGGGTGATTTTGATTTACATCCATGTGAATTAATAAATATTTAAATTCAGTTCCTTCAAATTAATAATGAGTTAGAGTAACAATTTATTTTATATACTTCGGTTGATTTTATATAAACTTATGTTTTCAATTTACATACTCTAAAATTAAAATTATCTCATTGTACAAATATAATTTCGAAATAATGTACTTGAGTTTTTTATTTATGTACTTCCATATGTTACAAAAATAATATAAAAAATAAAATAAAATAAAACAAAAAATACCAACGATCTCAAATTATGTGAGACGAAATGAATATTTTCATTATCATTTTACATATATTTAATTTAAAATAGATATAAATAATATATTTTCCAACAAGGGAGTAAAAGAGAAAAAACTATGGTATATGGTACTTTTTTTCATCCGGCGCCAGAGATGAGTCTTTTTTTTCAGAACTCAGTATTTTAAGTAGTGTAAATTAATAAATTATTAATAATAAATTATGATGTTATTTATTGTTTTTTTATATGAGCAGTGTTGTTAGTATTTTAAATATTTTTAAAATTATATCTCAATAAATATATGTAATATAAATATCATTTTATAGATAATAAAACTTTATATAATACAAATAAATAATAAAATATATTTATTTTATTTATAATTAACTTAAAATTAATTTATAAAAAATAAAAAATAAATTTCAGTGGACTCTATGTATAAAACATTAAAAATTAAATTAAATTAATTTATAATTATATTTAAAATAAATAAATTTATTAAAAATAAAAAATATTTCATTTTTATGGGACGAATAAAAAGAAAATGTTTGATGGCGTCAAAAGGAACATCAATACAAGTTTTGATAGCATACTAACAAATCAAATCTAATTTTTTGAAAAAATATTTTAAAATGTTATTGTATCAAATCTACTTGACTCAGGCTTTGAATAGTAATATATATATATATATATCTAATTATATATTTATATTTTTAATATTATAATAATAATAAATAAAATAAAAAATTAATATATGATATTTTTAATATAAATGAATGTCTGACTGATGTTTTTTAAATAAATTATTTATATAAAATTAAAAAATTAGAATATGTATTTAAATATTTTAAAATTTATATCACACTAAAAATATATGAAATAAAAATATTATTTTATAGAAAATAACATTTTCTAGAATAAAAATAAATCAAAAAATATTTATTTATTTATAATTAATATAAATTAATTTTATAAATGAGATAAAATTTAAATGTATACAAAAATATTTAATTTTTTTAAAAGATAAAAATAAAATTATGAATGGATCTATATGATATATGATTTTATATTTAATATATTTAATTAAGCCTATTTATATTTTTTTTAAGTATATTTAGATGGAATAAATTTGGATTAAGTTTTACGGATAGATATAAAAAATAAAAAATAAGGACAATAAAAATAATATTTTAAATAAAAATGTGTTGCATTTCTCCTTGCGAAAGGCACAGCTCCGACGCCTAACAAATGGCCGGAATCTGGCCGGAATTCTCTCGCAAATCCTCAATGAGATCCACAAATGCTCTCAGTATAGATCCATACGCCTTCTTCTTATTTAGATTCAGGTAACAAAACACCAGTTCTTCTAGAAACTTCCAATCCGCTACGCCGGCGTGTTCCAGACGCGCCTCTACCATCTCCTGCATCGACCGCCGGAAATCTTCGTACGGATCCGATGAGTACGTCATAAGCGCGACGTAATCGTCCGCCGCGACGGAGTTCTTCTCCCGCCGCACCATATTCTTTCCACCGGACGCCTCGGGAGAGACGGTGATGGCGGAGGAGGAGACCGACGACGACGACACCTCCTCCGTAATTAGAGATCTCGACGATCCGCACGAGATGAAAAACCTATCGGAGCGGCAGAGGTTCTCCGGCGGCGGATACTCGAGCCTCGGCGATTCGAGCAGAATCGATCTCAATTCGCTCTTCTCCGCTACGACGCGCTCGCACTCTCCCTGGCACAGCGACTTCGAATTCTCCGACGCGAATCTGTCTACGCCGGCGGTTATCTTCTCCTTGCTCCTGGCGCTCAACGACGTCGTTTTCGAATTCCTACGGTGGTGCAATGAGAATTGGATCCTTTGGCGGGTAAGTTTGATTTTTGCTATTTGCTCTTGAAATGATTTAGCCATTTTTTTTATATTTCCTGAAAAAACAAAAATCAAATTTTGTATGTTCTAAATATTATGTGAGAAAAAGAATTTTAGATGAAGTATTATATATATAGACGAATTTAAATAATAAACTTTTAAAATGTGAAACAACAATTCTTTATGTGACATTAAATTAGGAATCAATTAATAGTGGCTAAATTTGGACCAGTGAATATGGATAGTGAGTAATATTGATGATTATTTAGGTACGTATACTTTTGAATTTACTTCTTTTTTCAAATTTTTATTATGTAATTTTAATATTTCTTTTAATTTTATTTTTTAAAAAATTTTAAACTATATTATTTAATTTAATTAAATTTAAAAGAAAAAAAATCACTATTTTTATGTTTTTTTTCTTTTGTATTTTAAATGTTCTTTAAATAAAATAAGGGTTTGTTTGTCTGGTATTTTGATTTGATTTTTTTATATATATATAAAGTATATAAAATTATGTTGTTAATATAAAAAATAATATTTTATATTAAATATTAACTTCTATAAAAAAAATAAAAAAATTCAAAAAAAAAAACCTAAAAGAATAAACCAATTTTCCAAGTAAATTTTATAAAATTTAGCAATTTTATTTAATAGTGGAAGCACACAGCAATTTTCCAGAATATAATATATTTTTTAAAAATTACATGAATACAAATTAAATTAATATATAATGTAACCAGTGCTCTTTTATTGTGGTGGATGAAATTTAGGTGGTTAAATAATTTTTTGGCCGTTACTTAATGGAAATGAATAAATTTCCTTTAAAGTGGATTTCCTTTTATTATTATTTTTAATAGGGTTTGGTGTATATATTTAAATGTTTGTATTTTTGGTACACATTACATTAGTTGACTGTGGTTAATTTCATAAGTTTTAAATCGAAATTAATTTTTATTATAATTAAAATTCATAAAATATGATACTATTGTTATATATCTAATAAATTCTGCTATTGCTAGATTCAATGTAACACCTTATATGGAATGAATAAGTTCGCATTTTGGTACAACTATGTTGAAAATTTATTTATTTATTGGGAATATAATGTTTCCTTTAATTTAATGATTTTTTTTTTTTAAATATTGGTTTAGATGTTACTATATTTAATAAAATGAAATAATATATTATTATAAAAAAAATAATTGCATGAGATAATAAAAATATATATATATATATATAACTAACGAATACTATTGGTGATAAGTTAATTCGACAACAATGTTATATATATAATTTATTCGTTTTAAAATAATAGTTTTATTTTTATTTTTGTAATTAACTCTCCACTATTTTTATAAATAATTATCTTTATTTTTTTACAATAATTACATAAAGTAGGGAAATTTTGATATTTTAAAAATATTTTTATATCTAATATAATTATAAGACTAATATTTCTTAATTTTTATGTTAATCCCAAATATTCATATTTTGAGAAGTATAAAAGTATGTGGCGGTTTTGACAATACATTATATGCTAACAGATAACACACTATTGTAATAACGCATCATTTATATTAATATAATTCGAATACATAAATTAACATCACATGCAACAATTAATTTTAGTATATGATATATTTTTATATCTTACATATTTTTTTTATTTATGAATAGATAGCACATATATATACACAATGTGATTTATATAATAAAAATATATTCCCTCCGTCCAGTCAGAAAGTATATATATTTCTATTTTGGGACGTCCAATTACAAAGTAACCATTTCATTAAATACCTTATTTTTTCCCCAAATACCTCTACTTTACATCACATCATTACTTTTATACCAAAAAAGTAAGGGCAAAAATGTTATTTTACTACTTTTACCTCCCCATTATAATTAAAATACTATTATTCCTTAATTGTATACTTTTAGTTTGGACGGAGGGAGGAAGTGTATTATTTGTATATTTTATATATGCTTATTTGAAAAATTAATACTATATTGATTTTTCTTTAAATCTATACAGTAATCATTTCCATAAAAGTATTATTATTATATCTATAAAAGAAATAATTGATATGTTGTTATAAAGTCATAATATAGGAAGTAGTACATAAATAAATAAAATAGAGTCAATAAGTTTAGTAAATTAAAATAATTAATTTTTAAAATATTATATATCCTAGTGTTTTAGAATAATTGTTTTATTTAAATTTTTCTTCATTTCTTATTTATCTTAAAATATCTCATTTCCATATATATATATTATATTTAACTACATTATTTATTATTTATTTTAATATATTTTTTATCAGTAAATTGTGAATTTTCTCTTATGAATTTAAATTAATTAAAATTATTGTTTTCTATATGTTAGTTATTTATCTGTAAAATATTTGAATTTTTAAAATTAGATAAAATATAAAATATTAATATTTATATATATAATTTTTAAAAAAATTGTATTAAAAATGAATAAAATAGAAATAATTTACTAAAAAATTATAAGTTTTGTAAAAAAATATAATTAATTAAAAATTAACATAATAAAAATAGATGTATTGATGATTTATTATTTTTGCTTCGGTTACCGTATCAATTTGGTCAAATAGTACTAATTTGACTAAATCAACAAATATTAGTGAAGAAAGCAGAAAATATTAATATAATATTTAACATATATTTTTATAACATATTATATAATTACATATAATAAAATATATTTTTATTTAAACACAATAGTAATATAACACAATCATTAAATATGTATAAATAAAGTACTAAATATTAATATAATATATAATAACACAAGTTATGTTATCTGTCTTACGATAAAGTACTAATTATTTTAAATTAATATGCTATATTATTTATTTTGTAATAAATTACTAATTGTTTTTAAAAGTGATTTATATTTTAATTATTGTCATATTATTTATATTTTACAATTATTTCTAATTAAAAAGCCCCTCATATTTTTAATAAAAGTGATTTTGCTATAAAATATAAGTGAACAAATGCACCCAAAAAGCAAATAGAGATATAAACAAATTCATTGTATATTAAAAATATCATATAAAATTTAGTAGTTTATTTAAAATATCACTTTTATATATTTTTAAATTATTTAAAATATTTCAATCAAAATTTAATTTCACTAAAATAAAATTAAAAATCATAAGGCACCCAACAATTAGGCAAACACACCACCCTTAGCATAATGAATTGCCTTTGCCATATTTTGCGTAATGGCTCGACTATATTACATTTTATGGATTGGGCTTTTACTCCACTTTTTAATTTAATCGGCCCAACATACCAATTTAAATAGTGTTTATTAAACAAATAAAATAATAAATAAAAGAATTTCTCAAATTTTGTTTATAAACATTGATTAATAGTATAAAATAAAATATCCATATTATAATAATAATAATAATAATAATAATAATAATAATAATAATAATAATATATTTTTTTATATTATGTGTGTGTTTTTATTTTATTTTATTTTTGTCAAAGGGCTAAGTTGCCTTCCATCGTCTTCATATAATTGGGCTTCCGTAAGGTTTTTCAGGCCTTCTTATTCTAAGCTCGAATTTGGGCCACCACCAATTGTGTATTTTTACTATAAAAAAATTGAATATATATATATATATATAAATTATGTTCTCTAAATCTCAAATCCTCTATTATTATTATTATTTTATAATTTAAATTATTTCAAAAAAATTACAATTTATTTTATATACACATAAATTTTCGTCTTTTACATTTTAAATACAATTTATAAAATAATTCCAAACAGAAAAAAAAATAATATATATATACTATATACTATTTATAATATTGCATTAACAAAATAAAATAAAAATGTAGAGTTTGTTTGTTTTGTTAAATAGTTTAAATTGATATATTTTTATGTAAAATATAGAAAATTGTATAAATAATAAATATATATAATATATTAATTTTTTTAAAAAAATATGTGGAAATATTTTACAAAAATAACACAATCGTTTATCTATTTAAATTAAATACATATATTATAAACTATTTTACTCATTAAAAAAAAAACCCAACAGCCTATGACTACATTTTGGGCCCACTTAATGTGGGCCATCCTTTGTTCCTCAAGTTTTTGACAACGTGAATATTTTAAACAATTTTTAAAAAATAAAGTTTTATTTTTATTTTTTTAAATAAAAGGCTGTAATAAATATTTAATTAAATAAGTGTCAGTGTAGTTATACTAACTGCAAGACAATTTAATTTTCAATCAACTAACTTTAATAAATGACAATAAATTAAAAAAATAAATTCTAACAACATTTTTCATAACAATATATTGTTATGATTTAATAGATAGTGCATTTAAAAGGGGATCCAACGAAAAATAAAGAGAGTGGGTGGGTCAAATTGCAATTTCTCTTCAATCGATTGTTCAAAGCCTTTATTAAATTAATTGGTTGTTATTAATAATTTTAAAGTCAAACATGTCAGCAAAATTCTTGCATACGCAATTAATTGCAAGTAGGTCCCTCTTAATTTAATGCCAAATTATCTCTTGTACCCTTCTATTTCAATATTTTATAGAAGTGATTGTTTCGAGTGTTTGATTTTATTTATTTTTAATAAAATAATTTATATATTACATACAAAAAATCGATAAACACACCACATATAGTAGAAATGAAGATTGAAAATAATAATAATAATAATAATCATCATCGAATTCTAAAGTGAAAATAATTTGAGAAAAAAAAAACCAAAATTGTCATAAAGAAAATATTTGTATCTACAACATAAAAGTGTATTTAGGCATATCTAATAATATGGGGTACTATCGTAATTGAATCATTTGATTAGAGATACAGTATTTAAGGTGAGGATGTTTAATTAGTTATGGTATTATTATATTATTTTTTATATAATTAATAATATTTATATTTTTAAAGTAAATTTAATATATATGATTAAAAAAATTAAAATATATGTTTAAATATTTAAAAATTATATAGCAATTAAAA